ATAATAAATAAAAGTATTTTTTTTTTGTTCTGTTGTTTTTCAATTTTTTATTTATTTATGTATGGAAGTATCGAATCAAATTTTAATAAAACTGGCGTTTTTTGTTTTTGGTGTTAATCGTTCTTTTTAGGAGGAGCACCAGAAGGTCCTGCAGGAACTGGAAAAACGGAAACTACTAAAGATCTTGCAAAGGCAGTTGCAAAACAGTGCGTGGTTTTCAACTGTTCAGATGGTTTAGATTATATTGCTTTGGGAAAATTCTTTAAGGTTGGCTCACTTATTCATCATTGATTGTTACTTCTGAGGAATAATTTTTCATTTATTCTTAGCTAATTTATCGTTTTTCGTTTTCTAAAAACAACATGAAAACATATAAGTAATCATCAGAAACATTAACTATGAAAAATTTACTCATATGGGTGCACATACGAGGGCGGTTCAATAAGTACCCGTGTTAGAAATGAAGACACCATTTTTTTCAAAAAATTTTTTTTTATTTTTCAACATGGTCCCCTTTTAGAAAGATACACTTCTCCCAACGTCCCTGCTATTTTTTTAACCTCTCCAAAAAATAGGATTTGCCGAACTCACCAAAATACGTCCTCGTTTGAGCTAATTTTTTTTTTCGCGAGTCATTTCTTCATGAAAGGGAACAGGAAGAAGTCGCAGGGAACCAAATCGAGTGAGTACCCTACGGGGTGTGCGGCAACAGTTCATAACGTAGTTCATGCAGTTTGGCGGCAACAACTCCGGATCGTGTTGAAAAAGCACCTTCTTTTTCGCTAAATGCGTCCGTGTCTCCTTCAATTTTTTCGAAGCGGTCCAATAACTCACTGTAGTATTGTCCAGTGATCGTTCTTCCTTTTCCTAAAAAATCCATGAGGATGGCACCCTTCGCATACCAAAAAATCGTCGCCATGACCTTTCCGGCCGATAACCTAACCTAACCTATCAATCAGTCTTAAATTCGTTTAGGCGTCGTTTGATAGATGGCAGTGCACAATGACAACATCAACTTCCCTCAGGAACGTTCTCTGTCTTCAAACACTGGTACTTATTGAACCGCCCTCGTATATAACTAAAGTACCTACTGCTACATTTTCTCTGTATAAACTATCCATACAGAGTAACTGAGCTTTATTATTAACGCTTTTTCACTTACGTTAATTTCTTACAAGCTGCAGCTCGTATTCCCTCTTATTACAACATATAACAACTGCAGGGCTTAGCATCATGCGGAGCATGGTCATGTTTTGATGAATTTAACAGAATTGACTTGGAGGTACTGTCAGTTGTAGCTCAACAAATTTTAACTATTCAACGAGCGATTAACTCAGGTTCGAATGAGTTACTTTTCGAGGGTACTTTATTAAGTTTGGACCCTACTTGCGCCGTATTTATAACCATGAATCCAGGATATGCTGGCAGATCAGAATTGCCTGACAATCTAAAGGTACATCGATAAATGCTTAAAGCGAAAAAAAAATATGATATTCATTTAGACATTTCTAGGCACTTTTCCGATCTGTTGCAATGATGGTACCAGATTATGCTCTAATTTCGGAAATAGAGTTATACTCGTGTGGATTCTTAGAAGCAAAACCATTATCTGTAAAAATTGTTGCCACTTATCGCTTGTGCTCTGAACAATTATCATCCCAGCACCATTACGATTATGGTACGAACTGAGGTATTTAATTCTTGAGTTTCTGTATTGAATGTTTTACGACTTCGTAGGAATGAGAGCTGTTAAATCTGTATTAAGAGCAGCTGCTCAATTGAAATTGAGATATCCTGATGAGCAGGAAGATATATTGGTTTTAAGATCAATCAAAGATGTTAATTTGGCAAAGTTCTTAGAACACGATGTGCCACTTTTTCAGGTGAAAAGTCCTAATCGTTTTTGTTACTTTTGTGTTAAGCGTTTAGAATATTTTTTGTTTGTTGAGCGTAAAAGTTCTAATAAATAAAATAGGTTCTCGAGTTTACAAATCATTCAAAAATCGAAACCGTTGTATCTTATTTCTACACAAAGTTACAATGCATATAGTTGAGACGTTTAAAATTGGCATAGTTCGCAATAAAACTGTCACATTTACTGTCTTCTTTCAACTTACTAACTAGACTAGATATGTTGCTGACAGAACGCTTACTTTTACTCACGACAGATGTTGTAGGGAATATCGTAAACATAGAAAGAGATGTTAGGTAGGGATTGCAGCGCACACAAAAAAAAAACGAATGTCATTAAATCAATTAATAAGTAACGGAAAGAGATGCAGACAAGTGTAACTTGAGCATGTTGCCAGCATCGGACTTTAAAGAAAAATCAACATTTCCATGAATGTAGGAAAATAAAAATATAATTCTAAAGCCGACCCCGATATTTTGCGTACCTAACCGCTGCACCGCTTACTATTATTCGATTATCTCTTCTCACTTTGTCTGTACTACTCATGAAGCATTTCCTAACTTAACAAGGGCGTGTTCAGAACGCAGCAATTGAGTACAGTACCAAGTAGAAAGAAGAAAGAAGATACGTCCATTCCAACAGATAATTGCCAATTTTCATCGTCCCAACTATATGTGGCAAACAAAACGTAATTACTATTTATTAGGTAGTTACTTCAAGTATTCACTTCCATTAAATAATAGTACCTGTTGTGTCTATTTTGAAACAGGAAGCACAAAGCTAATTCCTTGCTTTTTTGATTGTAAAATATTTTAGGGAATAACGTCTGATTTGTTTCCGGGTGTTGTACTACCTCCTCCAGATTATGTTATATTTAACAAGGCAGTAAGAGACACTTGTAAAACAAAAGGCTTACAGTGTACTGCTCATTTCTTGGAAAAGGTCCAACAGCTTTATGAAATGATTGTTGTAAGACATGGTCTAATGATCGTTGGATTTCCATTTGCGGGTAAAACAACCAACTACAGGGTTCTAGCAGAGGCTCTTGAACTGATTGAAAAAAGGGTAACTCTATTATAATTATTATTAGAGCTTTCTATCTCTTTTCACTGACTTAATTAAAATTAGAAATACGGAATAAGTTGGTGATTTCTTTACTAGTCGTATAAATGTTACGAAACTTTTCTGGGTACGAAACTCCCACCATGTTTTTAAATTTTTCATCTGCGAAAATACCCTGATTTTCACTTAAAAGATCGCAGTACAATACTTTCAACCCATTCTACCCACTCTCAACGGTTAGTAACTGAATGGTCACAACCTCTTGTAAATTTATAGATAATCAGCCCCTAGTTTTAAACAAAATTGACGCTGAAGCGGACAATTTAAAGTAATTTCTTAAATAAATATCACCTTTGTAGATTGGGCAAGTGTAGAAAAGACGTTTTTTAAAATAATACCATATTATAGTTAAGATTTTAAGACTCTATTAAGATCTTAGCACATGAATGGGTTAAATTTAGTTTTCGGTTTAACGCAGAAATCATCATCCTATTTTTTAGCACCGTTTCTGTTCTAATCAGGGTAGGCATTGCAAATTTTATATAAAATTGTGATTATTAGGGTGGAATGGATGAACATAGAGCTATTTATACTGTTATGAATCCTAAGTCGATAACCATGGGTCAGTTATACGGACAGTTTGATCCTGTATCACATGAATGGTCTGATGGGGTTTTGGCAGTCAGTTTTCGTCAGTTTGCAATGTCAACTACAGATGATAGGTATATTAGCTTCTACAAAATTTCTGTTTTAATCCTTATTCGTCTTCAGAAAATGGTTACTTTTCGATGGCCCAGTTGATGCAGTGTGGATTGAAAACATGAATACCGTCCTGGATGATAACAAAAAATTATGCCTAATGTCTGGAGAGATTATACAATTATCTAACACAACTAATCTCATTTTCGAACCCATGGATCTGGATGTAGCTTCTCCTGCCACGGTAAAAATTTCCAAATATTTTCCGCATATACATTTACTTTATACCGACATATGTAGGTGTCCCGTTGTGGAATGATCTACATGGAGCCAGCGGCATTAGGGTGGCAACCCCTTTTAGAATCCTGGCTTCTAACATTACCTCCATCGTTTGACAATTCCCTTAAAAATTTGTTACGCAATATGTTCATTCGCTTTTGCAAGCCACTCATATATTTAATTCGAAAAGGCTTACGGGTAAGAAGATTTTCAATTTTTTTTAATGTGTATCTACGTGAAGTGAATTTGTTTTCAAGGAACTTTCACCTACATCGGATTCGAACCTGGTCAAAGCAACAATGAATTTATGCGACTGCTTTATGGACGACTTTAAGGACGACAAATACATGGAACAAATATCGGACATCGATTTTAGGGCTCAGGTTGAAGGTCTATTCTTCTTTTCTTGCATTTGGTCTATGGGCGGCACTTTAGATGGTGCTAGTCGTGCAAAATTCAACGTTATATTCAGAGGACTACTGGAAAGAGACTTTCCCAAATCCCTGATCGAACAAATGGGCTATCCATACAGCATTGATAAACCTGATAAACCTTACATTTTTACAATTCCCCAAAATAGCACCGTCTTTGACTTCAGATACATAAAGGAAGTGAGTTAATACACGATCCCTATCTTCGTACATAGTTCCAGTGAAAAAAATTCAATTTCATCATCATAACGTCAACAACTTATTGAACAGGCACGTCCAGTCTTTCCTATCCTGACCTAATCTTTCCTAACACTAGACCATCATTATCTAATCTAGGTCTACCTCTCCTCCTCTTAGTTCCTGTTTTTGTTTCTAATATGCTTCCAACTAGCTCTTCAAGCTTGAGAAAGTGTCCTACCAACCTATCTCGCCTATTTCTTATTAACTTCTATAGCGCCCTCTGCTCCCCTACTCTTTCTAATACCGTAACACCACATATCGAACGCTTCTAAAATTTTCTTTCCCACCGCTCCCACCTTCCACGTTTCGCACCCGTACAACGCTACCTTTAACCATCTTTTTCGAATTTCCAAATTAATCGTCCGTCAGCCTCGCTAACCATACCACTAAAATTAAGTAATATTTTTTGAATTCACATAACCATTTTGTCCTTCCACTTAAAAATATTTCACGTATCCTTTTTGTGTAAGGGAAAAGGTAAATGGAAACTTTGGACTGATGAGTTATTAGTAGCACCACCGATTCCCAGAGACCTTCCAGTAAATCAAATCATTGTTATAACTGTAGAAACAATAAGAAATATGGCTCTTATGCATTTATTGGTATCACATTACAAAGCAATGATGGTAGTTGGACCAACTGGAACTGGGAAATCTGTATACGTAACTGTAAAGATTGTCATTTGTATTTTCGGAAAACGATCATTTTTAAAATAATGGTATTTTAGGAATATCTATTAAAAAAAATGAACAAGGAAGCCTTTACGCCGTTATTTATTAATTTCTCGGCCCAGACATCGGCAAATCAGACTCAGAATATAATAATGTCCAAGTTAGACAAAAGACGTAAAGGTAATTAAATATTAATATTATGGAGAAAAAATAAATACAGTTTTAAAAGAATATAAACAGATAAAACAAAAATAGAAAAAATATTTCGTATCGTACTGTAAATTATCTAAAAAAAAGTAACAAAATTTGTTTTTATGGAAAAGAACATTCTAATTTTTTGAATGAAATGAATACAATTACGCAAATATCTAATAAACACAAATTGTAACTTGCAAATAAGTCGTATTAGGTACACTTTATTACCTATACAAATTTGTAAGAGACAATTTAGATCACTCCTTTTTCCTAATTAAGAATTTCATGAAGAATGAGAGAATTAAGGAGACCCAAAGTCAATCTTATTTTTCATAGTTAATAAAAAATTACTACTCATACCTATAATTTATTAATAATAAATGAAAAAAACCCAAAAAAGATAAATAATGCTGTTATGTATTTCTTTTTTAAAACAGTTGATTTCTTTTACCCTATTACTTACTTACTTACTTACTTACTTACTTACTTACTTACTTACACAAAA